AAAAACTTTAAGTATAAAGTCAGTAGAAAAAGGAAATAAATTTTCGAATGTAGTAAAAAAAAAAAATATTAGCCATTAATAAATATATTTTCTGTTACAGTTGTGCTGTACTTTTATCTTTTATGGAAAATCACTGCAAAACTGAACATTTAGTTTATAAAGAATGCATGAATATTCTCAAGTTGTGTAAACTAAAAAAGAGTTGATTTTCATTTTTTTAGGTCATACGAATGTAGAAGAGAAAAATGCATAATAATTAGAAAGCTAATAAGGTGGATATCAAATTAAAACATGAATGTTTTATTCATTAAAGTTAACCACATTATCTAACTGCAATATTCCTTCTTATGCATATATGTATTATTTTATTGTTTGATTTCATAATGCGTTAGCCATAAAGCGTAATTGTTTTTTTTAAATATTAATATAATTTTGTCTATCTTTTACTGATTTATTTATATATTTTATCATCTGAATGCATGTTATACTTCGTTATATTCCTAAAATAAATTAAAGTCTTAAATAATTGAAAAAAAAGTTTTAAATTAGATGAAAATTCGATTCAACATTAACTCTTCATTACGATTAATAAGTTTCAAAGACTTTTTGCCCTTTTAATGAATCAAAAACTACGGATATTTTATTTTAAGGAATTTTTATGTTCGTATATTTTTTAAGTTCTTTAATTTTTTAGTTCCTAAAGCAGAGGAAACATTTTTTGTATTTAATCAACATGAAATATGTTTTTTCATATTAGAAGTTTTTCTATGTAATATGATTAAGCAAGAAGTTGATTTTCCACAAGAGTAAAGTTTACTGTGCTTAGACAAGACTACAGAGCGAACTTGTTTTCTTTGCAAGCGTTTTACAAGCTCGAGCTACTCCTAAAGAAGGTTCTTTTTTTTCATCAAAGAGAATTTTATCGCATGTAATGGCAAAGAAAGTTTAATAAAAAGAATTCTTTATTTAAACATTTCTTTGGCTATAAAAGAAGAAAAAAAACAGTTAAAATTCATTTTTGAAAATAACTGTACTTTTATATTTTTACATTTGACATTTTTAAACCAATAATATTTCCCTCTAAATCCCAAAGTTATAACCAATTTTAAAAGAGTGTTTTTTTAATACTTTTTATCACGAATGAAAATATTTAAAACCCACATAAAAACTTATAACGCTCTCTTGGGAAACATTCTAGAATATCTGCGAAAAAAAGAGAAAAAAAAATTCTCAACTGGAACATTTTCTCCTCTTCTTGAAAAAATTAAAAACAAAATAAAAATCCTATCGATAAATCTAAACAAAAATTATTCCCTTGGAAATTTTCAAAGAAGCAAACCTCTTAGATAAAATGAATAATTCTGACAGTTATTAAGGGAAAAAATTATGCTCCTGAAATTTCAATCTACGAGATACTATTTAGTACCTAAAAAATGTCACTCAGGGCACTAATTTCGAATTTTTAATAATTAAAAATTCAAGAGTTAAAATTTCTTCATTACCAGAAAAGAATTTTTCTTTCATTTTATTTAAAGAACAGAATGAAAAAATGTATTCCTCTGGTTACCTTCAGAATCATCTTCTAACCTAAATTTATCTCTCCACATCGAGTTAAAATTTCAGCAGAAGTGTGATAATGCAGGTAAATCTTTTATCAAAAAAGGGAAATAAATCCGATTTAATATTAAATATTCAATAAATATTTAACATAGAAGCTTTTTTCAGTGGAGGTAATAAAAGAATAATTTTTTCAGAGCAATAATAATATAAGTTGGAGGAATTTAAATCCTGCACCCAAAGATTCAAGTTATAAAAAAACTAATTTTTAACCAAGAATAAAATCTTATCAATAATTAACTACCTCGTAATTATCTCGTTTATAAACAACAAAATTTTATCTAATCTGTCAATCAGTTAGTAAATTTTATAGATGCAAAAATTAAATGTTAAAAAAATAACCGATCACTCAGAAAACAATTTGTTTGAGACAACCAAAAATTACTTGAAACAATTAAACTTTGGTTAAATCAACCAAACACTGAGAAAAATTTTTTTAATTCAAAATAAGTAAAACTTAGTAAAATTTTCGAATTTGATAAAAATTTCTTCTAAAAATATAGTAAAATTTACTATTAAAATTCATTTTTTCCAGAATAACTTTTACTATTTCCAAACAAAATTTCTTTATAAAAATTAGAAAAATTTACTTCACAGAGTTGTCAAGAAAATTTAATTTTGTTTTTCCCTGATTTCATGGTAAATTTGTCAATATTTCTCTGTCCCTAAAGAATATTCTGATTCAGAGTAAAAAATAATTAGATACTAAAAAAAAATTGAGTTTTATTCAAAATAAATATTTAATCATTATTATTTTCCCTTAGGAATTAAGATTATAAAAAAAAATCCTTTGTAATTCAACAACTTACAAGAATAATTAATTCAATATTTTTTATTATTACAAAACATGAAAAAATTGATTACTCCGAGTGTTCGACTCGAAGTAATAAATTTTTTCATGTTTTGTAATAATTAAATTTGGCCGAGTGATGCTATAATACTTTTAAAACTCAATTGTTATCTACAATTTTTACAAAAAATCATTTTTAAATCAATTTTTATTAGAAAATTCTACTAGAATTCAATTATTTAAATACAAAAATAAATAATTTATTGAATAATTGAAAGGATCTTAAAATTGAATTCTATCGACGAATTTTAGTAAAATTTTAAAGAATAATTATTCTTTTTTCGAGAAATTCAATTAAAATTGTTTATAAAATAAATTAATTATGGTGAAGAAATTTATAAAAAATTTGTAAATAATTGAATTCCTGTGCAATTTTTATTACTTATAAAAATATTAAATGCGTAGAATTTTATAAAAAATTTTGTTTAGTAATTCAATTTATTTTGAAAATTTTATTAAAATAGATATTGAAAATCATTGAATTGAGGAAAATCTTTGAAGATAATTGAAGTTTTGCCCAAGAAGATTATTTAAATTTTTGAAAATTATTGAATTTCGAAGAAGAATTTTATTACTTTTTAAAGATAATTGAATTTTTGACTAGAATTTTATTAAATTTTTTAACATAATTGAATTTCTGCCAAGAATTTTATTACTTTTGAAAATAATTGAATTTCTGCAATTATTTCTAATTCCTCCAAAATTCAATTTATTTTAGTGGTTTTAACGAAAATTCTTCAAAAATACATTATTTTTAATGATTAATTAAATATATTTTTAAAAATGTAACCAATTTCAGAAAAATTTGAATTACTAAAATTTTTGAAAAATCTAAGTTGTTCATTAAAATTTCCAATTAAATTCATTCAAAATTGAAATTGTATAAAATTTAAATTAAATCTTTTGAAGTTCATTTATTTATAAAAATTGTAAACGCAACTCTTTTGAAATTCAATGAATTGTTTATGATGCAAATCAAAGAAAACCAAAATTCATAATTTTCTTACGAATTCTAGAATTTTAATTTCTTTCCAGTATTTTTATTAAATTTTCTGACTTTTTCTGACTTTTCCCTGAATTCCCTGAAACAATTTCCTGTGGCAACCCTAAAACTTTAGAAGTAGTAAAATCTACTCTGGAAATATAATTTTTGATAAAAATTTACTCCAGTTTCGAAGAAAATTAAAAACAATTTTCAACAAAAATTAACTCAGAAAATAGTAAAATTTGCAATTTAAAAATGTTATTTCCAGTATAAATTTTATAATAAAAGTAAAATTTAATAAAAATTGATAAAATATACTTTTATGCTTGTAAAATTTATTCTGAAAATAAGTACAAATTGAGACAGAAATTTTAAACAATTTAGATTTTACTTTGTAAGTACTAAAAGTTATTTTCCATTTTGTATAAAAGAAAATTCCAAATTTAAAACTCGGAGAAAATAACGACATAATTACTATTTTTAAGTTCTTTGCTGTAAGTTTGTTACTAGAAATTCATTATTTATATTTTTTCAAAAGATTTGGTTTCAATTCAGAGAAATTAATCCCAAAATAGGTCATTTTAATCTTTTTTAATGTAAATTTCAACTGCAACACTTTTTAAAATCTCTTAGTTTACTGAAGCAATAAAATTTGAATTTAAAGAAGAAACAAATAAATTTTATTCATTTTTTTTTATTTCTTAAAAAAAGGGGGAGAATATGCAAAATTTTAGGTGTTTCACAGGATTTGATTAATTTAAGGGGGATAAAATAGGGGAAAGTGGAGAAAAGAGAAACAAAAGGCGATTAGGTAAACAAGGGGATTATCTGTGATCCCCGCTAGTAATTAGTTTTCACAGCAAAAAAATTAGCTATGAGATGTAATTATTCACTGTAGGTATTAGCAAATAATTGCCATCCATGTAATAGCAGTTGAATAGCTAAGGTTAACTAAAAAGTTAATTTTTTTTCATGTAAATATTAATTAAGTACCTAATTAATAATTAATAATTATTAAATATTATTAAGGGCATTTGTTGTGACGTCATAATGGTTCAAGTACCTTAAAGGCATTTGAATCAATATGACGTCACGTAGTCATATTAATAATAATATTAAATATTAATAATTTATATTAAATATTAATAATTAATCATTATTTATTCAAATTAAATATTTATTAAATAAACCTCTCTACATCACACAAAAACCTTGGTTGGATATTGATCCTATTTTCAAAATTCGAGATTTCTCATATTTTGCAATAATTCCTCCACTCCCCCGAATGTGAGACCAATATTTGCCCAATATTTAAATAAAAATTCCTCCCCCATAAAATTGTTCCAACAATTTTTTTTTTCATATACGCCAATCGTAAAATTTTTCAAACACTGAATATTCCTATTCAGAGTGTTGGTAGAATATGAATGAGTAGCAAACGTAAAACCAGGTAAAATCTAACCACGCAGGTTGCACGAAAATAGATGGACGCATGCGTCTCACTTTGCACCTGTATGTATGGCCACCAAAACAGCGTAGGAGTGCGCAACTATTTGTGACGTTCAGTTCCTTCTGAACATTTCGCGATAGACTTGTTGAGCTCGGGATATTTGAAAAATTAATCGGAATAAAAAGTCTAATTCATTTAACACACAAAAAATAAAGACTTAAAATAAAAATCCATCATCTATTTCTCTTTATATATATATAAAATAAAAATTCTTTAAAGTATAGAAAGATTTGACTGAGACGCGAAGAGAGAAACGTAAGTGTTCAATGTTTCTGCAGTAACATCCGTATAATCGATTTCCGGGCCAAGAACATGCAAGAACAATTACCATTTCATAACTCTAAAATTTTATCCAAAAAATATGAAACTCAATTTTTATTTTTACAAAACAAAGAGAATTTTTTATTTAAATTTATCTTTTTCCTTTACACTTATATTATTTTTTATTTATTTTTTTCCCAAATATTGTATTTTTAAAAAGTGTTATTATTCTCCAAGAAATATTTTTAATTTATATAAAATGAGGGGAGAAATTAAATTTAAATAACCGCAGAACATGCAGAGGGTCGCTTACAAGTTTTTATACCTTTTTAAATTAATTTCTAAATTTTCCACTTTTGCAAATTTAAGAAAAAAAAACGTAGCAATCGTGAGTTGAAATTCACAAGAAATTTAATTATAATTTTACAATTTATATGACGTGTAACGAAAAAAAGAAGTAAAGAAACTTAATCCGCTTTTTAAAATGAAATACAACATTTTACATTATATTTTATCTACAAGAAATCTTTAGAAAAGAAAGATTTTATCCCCATCGTACTACTTGGAATTAAATTATAATGAACACATTAAAATTTATTAAATTTATTATTATATTCTATTTATAAAAATTTTATTTTTATATTTTATTTAATTATGTAGACGTTATTTAATATTAAGTCAAGTAAGAAAATTTATTATTTACTTTTTTTTTATCAACAAAAGTGCTGATCCAGTTTTGGACAATTGACCCACTTTTTTTTATAAAATAATAAAATGCAAATTGAAATTGAAAAAACAAAATCCAATTTGAAAAAATTAAATAGAATTTGAAAATATAAAATCGAAATTGAAAAAATAAAATTGAAAGTGAAAAATAAAATGGAAATTGAAAAAAAGAAAATCGATATTGAAAAAATAAAATTGAATTTGAAGAAACAAAATCGAAATTTAAAAAATTTAATTTAAAATGAAAAAACAAAATCAAAATTGAAAAAATAAAATTAAAAGTGAAAAATAAAATTGAAATTGAAAAAACAAAACCGAAATTAAAAAAATAAAATTAAAAGTGAAAAATAAAATTGAAATTGAGAAAATAAAATCGAAATTGAAAAAATAGAATTGAAAGTTTTTTGAATTTTCACAGAATTTTTCAACGAAACAATTGTCAATTCATTAGTAAGTAAAATAAAATAAAAAATAATATTAAAAGTTAAAAAATGAAATTAAAAACGAAATCGAAATTGAAAAAATAAAATTAAAAATGAAAAATATAATTGAAATTTAGAAAATAAAATTGAAAAAATAAAATTCAAAGTTTTTTTAATTTCCCAGAATTTTTCAACGAAACAATTGTCAATTCATTAGTAAGTAAAATAAAATAAAAAATAATATTGAAAGATAAAAAATAAAATTAAAAACGAAAAAACAAAATCGAAATTGAAAAAATAAAATTGACAGTAGAAAATAAAGTTCAATCAATTATCGGAAATAATTAAAGGGAAAAATATATTAATTGAAAAGCAGATATTTTTGTAAAGTCCAGAATTACTAATTGCTGTCTCTTTTATACACAACTATATTTTGAAAAATATTTGTAAATGCAAATTTGATATGCTGATTAGCAGTGCTTCATGCAAATATAAGCTGACTTTAAAACAATTAGATTTTAAAATGAGCAACTCGAGTAGAATTTAATACATAACTTTTTCAAATTAAAACTCAAGATATTCTTTTCATATTCAACTTTCAATGTAAATTAAGATTACACTTTTGTCCCTTTCAAGACAAAATTAATTATCAGAAATAAGATTTTTTCACTAAAATTTTATTATTCTAAAATAATAATTATATAAATAATAAAATAATAGAAAAAAATAATAAAAATAATAAAATAAAAGAAAAAAATAATAAAAATAATAAAAATTAAAAAATTAAAATAATAAAATAATAATTTACGAAATACATTTTTTTATTTTCAGTCCTCCATTTTTTCATAGTTTCAATTTTCAATTTTTTTATGTTTCAATTTTGCTAGATTGACAATTTCTAAGAAAATAATTAATTATGAAAACAGAAATTCAAATTTTTTTTTAAATTTCCTTTAGAGCGTCCGCGTAAAGAAAAACTACCAAAAGTGTGAAGAATAACGAAAAACAAAAAGAAAAATGAAGTCACATACAGGAATTATTTTAGCAATCGTAATTATTACGACATGCAGTATGCACAGAGAAGTCGAAGGTTGGGGAGGTCTTTTTAATCGCTTTAGTCCCGAAATGCTCTCAAATCTTGGTTATGGCAGTCACGGCGGATATCAGGGAAAATCGTCATATCTCCAGGTAAATTAAATATCGAAACCAATTTTCCTAGCGAAATTAATTTCACACGAAACGAGGAGCGAATATAATATTCAAACTAGATATTTCCCCCAAAAAAATATAATTTTGTAAAATTTCCAAAAAATCAAAAATGTATAGGGTAACTGTACCAATTGTCGAGGGTTTTAGGCAACATGTGACTTTGACATTTTTTTTCTCGGAAGTAAATGCACTTTAAAATTTGATTTTTGTATATTTGGACGAAGGATCTAATAATGTTTAATATTCATATTTATTTTTTTAATATAAACTAAATTGTTAAGCAAAAAATATATTTAAAAGTCAATCGAGCAAAAGCACCATTTTTCGATGGTCTTGTGCTAATTTCTCGAGGGTCTGTTCCAATTGTCGAGGGTATGACATTTTTAAACATATAACCCAATATAACCTAACAATTAACCTGTACAGATATTAGAAAATCGAGTAGATATTTATTTTTTTGATAAAAATATTATAGAACATTACCAGAAAACAAATATATTTATTTAACTATAATTGAATAATTTATAATATCGATATAAAACATTTTTATAGTAGATGATACAGGACAGAAAATTATTTAACTGTTTTTTAAACTTTTATAAATATAAGTTAATTAAATTTAATCAATTTTGTTAATCAGACATTAATTGAAAAAATAAATTAATTTAAGTCACATTAAATTTGTAAACGAATAAAATAAACTTTTATTACAAACTGTAAATATAATGGTTAATTATAATTAAACTATAGTACAAAATTTTTTAGTTTTGAATTTTGCATTTTTTTATTAATTTTTTTCGGTCTTCCTCGTTTTTTTGGTTGATTATTTTCTGTTGGTTGTAAATTTTTGGAGCATTTTTTTTCTTTTTCTCTGTACCTATAAATGTTTGGCATTTATGTTTGACGTTTAGTAAATAAACACTTAACCATCGATAAATGGTGCATCAGCGAAAAAAGTGACTACACCAATTTTCGAGTCATTACCTCGAAAAATGGAACTCTCAAAAAAAAGGAACCAAATACCGATGATTTGCTTTTAAAAAATATTAAATATTTTTTTTTAACAAAAAAACATGCATACAAAATTAATTTAGTTCGTGTACAAAATTATAATAATAATTTTGTACACAAAAAGTCATTATAAATACGTTTAATTTGCATTTCTAAAAATCTGTTTTAATCAACCTGAAGTATTAAGAAAATGGAGATTCGTGTAAATTTCACAGCAGTGAATTATAATATTAATTAAATAATTATTTTAGTAGAATCGCTACGAAATTTGTATATATAAATATACAGTTAAAAATACAAAGATTATTTAGAAATTTTTTTTGTTCTTAAATATTATATATTATACTATTTATCTAAAAAAGAAAATTATTATCCTCGACAATTGGAGCACCCTCGGCAATTGGTGCAGTTACCCTAATTAAAATAAAATCAAATTAAAAACAACTGAAAAATTAAATTTAAATTTAGTTCCAATTAAAATTCAAAATCTAATAAAAAATCTAATATACTTTTTAATAACAATTTTATAATCTCAACTTGAGTAAATTTCAATCATTTTCAAATCATTTTGATCGAAATTCATGAAATTGATAATTATCTATTAATTTAAATTAGTAAAATCATAAATTTAAATTTTTAATTTAACTAAATGAGAATTTTTAATTTTCAACTATAATTTACAAAAAAAAAAACAAGTGATAATTATATATCAAATAAATTATGAAGTTAATTTTTTTTAAATTAGTTATCGATTTTCCACTAACGCAGATTTTATAATAAAACTGGATGAAAGTGTTCATTTAGAAGAAATGTGATTACACTTTAAATTTCCTATTACAATGTCTACTAATTTCCTACATTCAAGACTGTAAAAACACGACATTTTATGACGAGCATTGTTGTACCTTAAAACTCATTAATTTCAATGTCTTGTGAATCAAATTTTATACGCTTCCATTTATATACCCAGAGAAATCTTTTATTAAAATCAAAATAAAATTTACTTGAGTTAAATAAAACTTAAACAAATTGAAAGAAAAAAAAATAATTTGAAAAAAATATTATTAAAACCAAATAAAATTTATAATAAAAAAATATTTTTAATTGAACTAAATATATATAATAAAAAACGAAATTTGTTTACATAAAATAAATTTTATTTGGCTCAATTCGATTTTATTTAGTTCAATTTAATTTTATTTGGTTCAATGAAAAATATTTTTTAAAATAAATTTTATTTGGTTCAATTAAAAATATTTTTTTAATATTATTTGGTTCAATTTTATTTTCTTTGGTTCAAATAAAATACATTTGGTTCAAACAAACTTTATTTAGTTCAAATAAAATAGATTTGGTTCAAAGAAAAATTGTTTGGAGTAATAAATTTTATTTGAACCAAATAAAATAAAATTGAACCAAATAAAATTTATTAAATAAAATATTGACAATTTAGTCAAATAAAATTGAATGAAACCAAATAATATATAAATGAAAAAAATATTTTTGAGTTAAATAAAATTGATTTAAATCAAACAGAATTGAGTTGAAACAAATAAATTTGAGTTGAAACAAATAAATTTGAATTGAAACAAATAATATCTTTTTGAAAACAAATATTTTTAATTAAACCAAACAAAATTTATTTGAAAAGAATGTTTTTAATTAAACCAAATAAAATTTGTTTGAAGAAAATTAATTTGAATTGAACCAAATAAAACGGAGTCAAACCAAATAAAATTTATTAAAAAAAGTATTTTTAATTAAACCAAATAAAATTTACTTGAAAAAAATATTTTTAATCGAGTAAAATAAAATTGAATGGAACCAAATAATATTAAATTAAACCAAACAAAATTTATTTAAAATGAATGTTTTTAATTAAACCAAATAAAATTTGTTTGAAGAAAATTAATTGTAATTGATCCAAATAAAATTGAATTGAACCAAAAAATATTTATTTGAAAAAAATGTTTTTAATTGAACCAAATAAAATTTGTTTGAAAAAAATTAATTTGTATTGAACCAAATAAAATGGAGTTGAACCAAATAAAATTTTTTAAAAATGTAGTTTTAATTAAACCAAATAAAATTTACTAGAAAAAAATATTTTTAATTGAATCAAATAAAATTGAATGGAACCAAATAACATTAAATGAAACCAAATAATATTTATTTGAAAAAAATATTTATAATTACGCCAAATAAAATTTGTTTGGAGAAAATTAATTTGAATTGAACCAAATAATATTTATATGAAAATAAATATTTTTAGTTAAACCAAACAAAATTTATTTGAAAAGAATGTTTTTAATTAAACCAAATAAAATTTGTTTGAAGAAAATTAATTTGAATTGAACCAAATAATATTAAATTAAACCAAATAATATTTATTTGAAAAAAATATTTGTAATTAAACCAAATAAATTTTATTTGAAAAAAATTAATTTGAATTGGACCAAATAAAATTGAATTGAACCAAATAATATCTATTTGAAAAAAATGTTTTTAATTGAGTCAAATAAAATTGAATTGAATCAAGTAAAATTAAATTGAACCAAATAATACTTATTTGAAAATAACTAATAAATAAATAAAACTAAATTTAACCAAAAAAATCGTATTTCAAGTAAATAAATTTTATTCCAAATGATAAACTCGCAGACAATTTTCATGCATCTTCATTTCATATGTCCTACTTTTTACAACATTTCTTCCACTTTCCATACAACATTTAAATAAATGTCCTACAAAAATGCACTCTACCAATTGTCTTTAATTTTCCTGAGTACTTTACTAGATCACGATAAAGAAATTACACTTTCATGAGTCAATTTTCATCAAAAAAAAATTATTAAAGGCGTTCTTGAATAACGATAATGAATTACAAGAAGCACTTAATGATTAAAATATTAATGGCAACCTTCTATACAAAAATAAATATTTTATAGTTTCATAAAAATGAAAAATCCTCTCTCTCTCTCTCTAATAAACCTAATAAAAAAAGGAAAATTCACACCAAAAACTTTCGCTATACGTGTCAACAGAAATGATAATAATTATTATTGACTTCAATGAATTGCGACTATATACACTAGAGAAAACACATTAATCTGTCAACCCTGAATCACTTCATTTTGAAATTAGATTGCCCACAATGAAAATTACGAATACAAAAGCACTTTATGAGTATTGCTTACGTCAGAGTACGTATATATACGTGAATATTCTATCGATTTCCAAGCCAATGTAAAGGAAACAAAAAGCATTGTGTATTTAAGATTTTTTTTCCTGAAGGGGTTAAAAAACAATTTACCAAAGGGGTTTTTTTCTTCGACCGAGATTAGTATCTCCTCCTCTTTCTTTAATAACAAAAAAAAATTGATTACTATCTCAATTTTCCATAACAAAAAAAAATAAAAAAATTATTATTACGAAGCAGTGGTTGATTTTCCTTTTATAATAAAAAATTTTCTATACAGCGATCTGGAATTTCGGAAGGATTAACTGGCAATTCTCTGGAGGAATCAGCTGATGAACCATGTTATGCAAGAAGATGTACAGCCAATGAGCATTGTTGCCCTGGTTCTGTATGTGTCGACGTGGACGGAAGTAATTACTTATTTATAAAAAAATGTTTCGCGTGACCATCTAATTCATAAAAAAAACTGATTTACTAATTAATTTTACGAGCTGCTTTTTTTTCTCTATAGTAAAACTTTTTAATCTTTTAATCAGAACTGAGAATAATTTATAACTTGTGTTCCCAGACTAAAAATACTGAAAAAAAATATTTTTCTCACTTTTTACGACGCAATAGTGTCCAATTAACAAATTATCGAATATTCATAATCTACGCTACGTATAGCTATATGTATACTAAATTAGACTACAACTCTCGAGAACTATTTTGATAATATTAGTCATTTTAAATAAAATTCTAATTATTTTAATTAATTCAATATATTATAACATATTCAATTATTTAAATTAATTCCAATAGTATTTAATTATTAATTTAATTATTACTTACTACAGTAGTATTTTATTATAATTAATATTAATTAATTATATATTATATCAATTTTAACAATAAATATAATTTATAATTAATTAATATTAATTACTATTTATTCATTATTATTACAATAATTACAATACCAGGGATCACAGTGATTTTTTTTGGTAATATTTAGTAAAAAAAAAGGGGATTTTAATTTTTAATAAAGGGATTCCAGTAAATTTAATTTAAAAAATCAGGAATTTTCAAATTAAGTTAAAAGTAATGCTATAGCGTAAACAGTTCATTTTAGAGATTTTTTTACTTTTTTCTCTTAATTACAGCTTTCTTGAATCAGACTTTTTTTTTGTTTAATTATTTCTGTTAATTATTATCTTCAGGGTTGAAGCAGAAAATTAATTTTTTTTCCTTCATTTACAGCTATACAACTTTGACTTTTTCCTGACCCCTAGAAAAACAAATTCAATGGGAGTTTAATTGTAGAAAAAGAAAGATAATTTTTAAAAGCAAATATCTCATTAAAAACTTTAAGGGTGTCTATCTATTTTGAAATTCAAATTAATTACTGTGGCTAACACAAATAAACACAATAAAATTCTTTTAAAAAAAGAATAATTTTATTATTAACAAAAATTATTATTAATTTGATATTGTTATTTTTAACAAAAATTTTGGAAAATTTGAATTACATGGAAAATTTAAAATTATTTGCAAAAAAGTATAAATATAAATTTTACTTGTAAATAAAAATTCAATAAAAATATAAACAAAAAATGAAATTATCCTCAAACGGTAGAATTGAAATATTTTCAAAAGCTAATTTTGCAGAATATTAAATAAAACTTTTCGAAACTTGAATATTTTAAAAAGATTTTAATTTTAAACATTTTTAAATTAACTAATGAATATAAATTTTAATTGTAACTTTTTCGAAATTAAATTATTTTAGATGTAATTTAAACTCGTTAATGCTGCTTTTTACACTAATAAACATATTGTTACTCTTTGTAAAATTCAATTATTTAGTAATTATAAAATTAAAATTCTTTAAAAATTCAATTTTTCTTTAATATCTAACAAAATTATTTAATTATTATTAGTAATTTAATTAATTAATAATTAATAATAATTTAATTATTATCAACTTAATATTACAAAATTTTAATTTTATTTTAATTCAAAAAAAATTTATTTGCTCTTAATAAAACTTTTACTTGTCTTGAATAAAAATTGAGACAAATATACTTTTATTTAACTCAAATAAATTATAATAATTTAAACTAAAATATTATTTTGATTTAAATAAAATTTTTTTCTGGGTGAAAAATTGAATTATTTATTGAATTTTTTATTCTTTAATTTTTTAAATTTTCAATTCTTTACTGCAAATCCATTGTGATTTAAAAGTTTTCAAAGTAAGAACAAGTTCAAGGAGAATTTAAGATTTTCAAGTATGTATTTCAAAAATATTTTTCGACAACGAAAACAATAATTTTTGCAACAATTCTAAAAGTCTGATATTTTTTCATTACTTTTCATAAAATTCCCTCGCATTTCTCTAATTTCTCTGACTAATTTTATATTCCCTTCTAAAAATACATTAAAATTTACAATTAAAAATTATTTCCAGAATAACTTTTACTATCTCTGAAGAAAATTTCTTTATGAAAATTAGAAAAACTTACTTTAGAAGAGGTAAAATTTACTCTGGAAATAATAATTTTTGATAAAAGATTGTACTACCATTTGAAGAAAATTTTAAAAAATTGTCCATCAAAATGAACTGTGGAAATAGAAAAAATTTGCTTATTAAAAACTAAAAATTTTTCTAATTTAAAAAAAAAATTACAATTTCTGTAAGTTTTTCTTATTTTAAAAAAGGAAGAAAGAATAAAATATGTATAATTTTAGGTGTTTCCAGGAGATTTCATTAATTTAAGAGGATAAAAAGAGGGAAAAGAGAAAAAAGGACAATAGGTAAAAAATGAATTAGGTTAATGGGTTAGATAAAAAATACTGTGATCCTTGCAATAATAATAAAAAAAGAAAATATTAAACTAATAATAAATTAATAATTCAATGAATTAATGTAAACAATTATAATTCATTTTTATACCCAAAAAAAAAGATAAACATTAAAAAAAAGTGTAAACAACAATAAATTATTCGAGAATAGCAAAAGTCTCAACTTTTTATTTCTCAAAAATAAAAATTCTGCTAATTTAATGAAATTTGCAGCTGTTTCAGAAAAAAAAATTTTCCCACGTAATTTATAATTAGAACGAATTAGAATTAATTTTAATTAGAACGAATTTTACTCTACTCCCTGATTATGAGTCGCATGAAGTGAGAAAAATACAAAGCGAGAGAAAAACTAAATTTCAAATTAAATGCAAAAAAAAAATTAAATTGTAAATAAATTTTCATGTATTCTTTTAGTTATTGGATCCTGCCTCTTTGCATATGGATTAAAACAGGGTGAACTTTGCAGAAGAGACAATGATTGTGAAACTGGGCTTATGTGCTCTGAAGTAGCTGGAGGGGAAACTCGATCGTGTCAACCACCAGTAAATTCAAACAAACAATACAGTGAGTTTCTCATTTGATTAATTACAAAATTTCAAATTACAAAAAAAAAATCTAATTCACTATAAAATTAATTACTAAATTTCAAATTTCAAAAAGGAAACACGAGAATCGTCCATACTAACAATAAGCATATTTAATTTCAAACGAATCTATAAATTTGAGAGAACAACACTTTTAAAAACTAAAAGTATTTTTATTTTAAATAAATTATTTCATATATGATAGAAGTGTTTCTAATTTTCATTTCAAATATAATTTAATTTTAATTTAATTTTAACTGAGTAAATGAAAATAATAAATTTTTATTTCAGGTTCAAACAAAAGTTGTTTGAAGTAATAAATTTGATTTGAACCAAATAAAATTTGTTTGATGTAAATAACTTTTGTTTGAACTAAATAAATAAAATTATAATAGATATAATATTTATATATAAATAGAAATAGATTCAATCATTTACTGACATTAAAATTATTTTCCCTGACAAAATTCTTTTTACAGGAAAATATGAATGTTTACGGAAAATGAGTAAAATTTATAAATTTTAATAATTTCTAAAAATAAAAAATAATACTCCTTAATTAAATTATTTTCTACAATTTTCAACTAAACTTCATCTCTAAATCAATTATTATTTAAATAATTGTAACTCTCCATAGTTTTTTCTTAAGTTATTAAGGTATAATATTTTCAACAAATTATAAAGAAATTCTTATACAATAAATTTTTTAAAAATATTTTTAAATAACTTTTGAAAGAAAATAGTTTTTCAATTTTAAAAAATTTTCAAATAATTAAAATTTGATAAAATCTTTTAAAAATAATTGTATTTTTGAAAAATATAAATAAAAATGATCTAAATTTTTAAAGAATTTTAATTATAAACAGGTCCATGATTTCTCAAAAATTTTAATAAGTCCAAAAAGTAAATTTTCATAAATTTTTATTTACATTATTCGAAGATAATTGAATTTTAAAAAAATTATTATAAAACAATTCTAATAATTAGTTTTTAAAAATATTTTAATGTAATTTTTCGAAAATAATTGAATTTCTTAAAAGAATTTTTGTATAATTTAAAAAAAGCGAATTAATTTTTTGATGAATTTTAATTAAAAATTTTAAACATGATTGTTTACTCCAAAATGTTAAAAATAATTCTAAAATGTTATTTTTTTTGTATATATTTCAATTTTTGGAAATATGTAATTGAAGATACTGAAAATATTGAATTTGTAAAAACTAGAAGCTAATTTTCATTAATTTTCATTTTTAAATTTATCTTTAAAGATTTTTCATCAAATTTTAAAATATTTTTTCACCAAAATATTAAAAATAATTCTAAAATGTTATTATTTTTGTATCTATTTGAATTTTTGGAAATTAGAAATTGAAAATACTGAAAATATTGAATTTTTAACAATAGAAGCTAATTTTCTTTCATTTTCATTTTTAAATTTACCTTTAAAGATTTTTCATTAAAATTTTTGATAATTCAATTATTTTTAAAATTTGCAATTAAAATTCTTCAAAAGTTGATTTTCAAAGATTGGAACAAAATACTTGAAATAAATTAATTATTTTCAATTAAATTTTACAAAAAATGTCAAGTATTTAAAAAAGATTTATATTATAGATATATTTGAAAAATTTAATTATGTTAAAAAAATAATTCGATATAAGTTGCACTTTTTATTAAAAATTGTTGTATTTTGTTGTAATTTTTGAAAATAAGTCGAAAAAAGTCTCAATTTTCTTAATTTCCCTGACAAAATTTTTTTTCCTGCCATTTCCCTGATTTTACTGACAAAAAAATTGTTTCCCTGACATTCCCCTGACTTTACTGACATATATGGCCACCCCGATAATATTTATTTCAAATATAATTTAATTTTTATTTAATTTTAACTGAATAAATGAATAAATAAAATAAATAAATTTTCATTTCAGGTGAAGAATGTAGTATGTCCGGTGAATGCGATATTAGTCGAGGTTTATGCTGTCAATTGCAACGGCGACATCGACAATCACCTCGAAAGGTAACAGCATTTCAAAATTAAATTACTTTTCCAAAGTCAGAGTAAAAAAAATTGTTATTTAAATTTATAAGAATTAAAACTGGTATAAAATATTAGTTAAAACTAAATTCTTAATAATCAAAGCCTAAAATCATTTTTTTTTCTGATTGCTCTTCTTTTTTACCACATTTTTTCTAAGGATATGAAATTGAGACAAAAAACGTAACAAAATTGTTGCGAAGCAACATTTTGATACATTTTTTGCCTCAATTTCATATCCTTAGAAAAACTGCGACTATTAGTAGAAAGTAGCAAAATTTTCAATCACCAACTAAAGTTAAAATCCCCTAAAATACTAAAATAACAAAAATATTGCCAAAAACCAAAAAAAAAAAATAATTTCCAAATTTCTAGGTTTGCTCCTACTTCAAAGATCCTCTCGTTTGCATTGGTCCAGTCGCAACCGATCAAATAAAATCAGTAATTCAATATACAGCAGGTGAGAAACGAATCACGGGACAAGGGAATCGTGTCTATAAACGAACTCCATTCGTTTAAATTAAAAACTAATAATAATACTAATAATAATAATAATCTATTCCCTCTTCCCAAGATGCCCATAAAAGCTACAAATCAAATCCTATATATGATTGTAGTCACTAAACTCTTTTAAGATGATAAGTAATTTAGGTATATGCATATACTATACATATCATTGATTTTATTACTCTTTTTTTACATGACCGAAACTGGGGCATGTTATATATTATAAGAATAAGATGAAAGTAAAAAAAAAGAGAAGAAAAAAAATGAAAGTTTCAAGAAAACCAAAAGGGAAAGATAAAAGAACAATCGAGATGACGAGTATATATACACAAGACAAATAGATTTTAAAGAAAAAAACAATTACTCGACTTTTAATCTTTCTCTTTAACGTGACTGAAGAATACAACACATATCAGAGTAGCTTAATACTCCTTAGCAACATAAGTGCATATAGAATATATCGAACAAATTTTCAGGGAATTTCTTCCAATTTTTTTTAGTCTCTTCTCTTTGATTTTGAGAACGTAATTTTTTTAAAAGTTATTAATAAAAGTAATTAATAATAGATGACAAATAAAAACTTTGTAATTTGAATTCTTCCAAATTTAATTCAATACATACAGAAAAAAGTATATTTGTCACAGGTAAATGGAAACTAAATTGTTACAAATAAATTGTATTTGGTTCAAATAATTTTTATTTGGTTCATAGGAATTTGAATATTTTGAATATTTTGTTTGGTTCAAAGAGATTTTATTTGATTTAATGAAACTTTACTTGATTTAATAAAACTTTATTCGACTCAATGAAACTATATTTGATTCAATTAAAACTTTATTTGATTCAAAGAAAGTTTATTTCGTTCAAAAAAATTTATTTGCTTCAATGAAACTTTATTTGGTTCAAAGAAATTTTATTTGATTCAATGAAACTTTATTTGATTCAATGAAACTTTATTCGATTCAATAAAACTTTATTTGATTCAAAGAAAGTTTATTTGGTTCAAAAAAATTTTATTTGCTTCAAAGAAATTTTACCTGTAACAAATAAATTCTATTTGGTTCAAAAAATTTTTGGAATTTGGTTCAATGAAACTTTATTTGGTTCAAAAAATTTTATTTGCTTCAAAGAAATCTTATCTGTAACAAATAAATTTCTACTTGATTCAAATAAATTATATTTGGTTCAAATAAATTTTAATTGGTTCAAATAATTTTTATTTGGTTTAATGGAACTTTATTTGGTTCAAAAAATTTTATTTGCTTCAATGAAACTTTATTTGGTTCAAAAAAATTTTATTTGTTCCAAAGAAATCTTATCTGGAAAGAATAAATTTCTATTTAGTTCAAATAAATTCCATTTGGTTCAAATAATTTTTATTTGGTTCAAATAAATTCCATTTGGTTCAAATAAATTCCATTTGGTTCAAATAAAGTTGAGATAAATTATTTGCTTCAAACATAAATTTTCTTTCCGCTCAAAAAAATTTATTTATGCGAAATAAAAATTTTATTTGAAACAAATAAAAAATTTAAAATGCTTGCGAGACAAATATCCATTTATTTAAACCAAATATATTATATTTGCTTCAAATAAATCATTTTTCTGGGTACACAAATTAAATATAAATAAGTTACTATTTATTAAGTTTCTCTCTAATTTCCCAAATTACTTTAAAAACATAATCTAAAATTCCCTAAAAATTATGTTCCTCAAACAGGTCTTAAATAAAGAAATTTATAATACCATCAATTTAATTTTATCAAATTGATGCGTTTAAAGAAAATTTTTTAAAAATTGTTAAATTTCGTTAAGTTTAAATATTTTCATATTTAATTATTATTGTCCAATTAATAATTAATCTTTTTCTATTGATTAATATGGAACTCAAGTTTACACACTCAAAAAAAAAACTAGTAGATTTGACTACTTTTTAACTACCCTGAGTGATTCAATAGGTCCTCAACTGAATTTAAAAATTTATATTTACTACCGAAAGTAGTAAAAAGAACTAAGAATTTAGTTGATGTAATTAGATTTTGTAGTTGTTTTTGCAATTTAACTACTTTTTTTAGTTATATAAACTATTATTCTTCAACTATATTCAAAGTAGTAAAATCAACTACACAAAAATTGTTAGTAAAACTAAAAAAGTAATTAATTTGACAACTTTCAACTCAACTAGGTAATAGTAGTTAAAGATTTCGACCGAATTTTTTTCAGTGCAACACCAAATCTGGAAAATTCGATTTTCCAAGTAACAATATTGAAAATCGTCAGGTTCGACGTTGTAAACTTTAGTTCAATTAATTAAAAATGAATTATCAATTAATTAATAAACAATATGAAAGTTATTTTGAAAAAAAAATTAACACTACAAAAAATTAAACTCTTGAAAATAAATTTTTTAAAGTAAAGTTTCGTAAATACTCTTTACATTCTTTGAAAAATTTTTTATGAGACTATTTTTTATTTCACAAAGATATTTTTTCTACAATCAAAAAATTTAATTTTTACTTCAATTTTTTAAATTCAAAGCATTTATTTTCTCATAAGTTCGATAGTAATTTTGTTTCATCATTTTTTTTTAAAAAATAACAAAACAAAAAATCAATATCAAACGCATAAAATAGAGGAGAAAATAAATACTGATAAAAGTTTATAAAATTCTGTAATTCTGTCGTTTTAGCATAAAAAAAATAGAAATTAAAATAGCAATTTTTTTCACGTCAAAACGACAGTCAATCTACAGCATAAAAGAATTTTTTTTCATTTTCATCCAATTTTAAGATAAATACCTAGTAACTAGCAAAAAAAATATAAATTATCGTATTTTTCCTCATAAAAAAAAATGTTTACTTAAATAATTAAAAAAAAACTATACTATATAAAAAAGAATATATTGTATAATATTGTTTTCGAAAATTAATTAAAAATTTTATATATAATGAAACAAATATTTTGATTATAAATTATAAAAAAGAAATTTTTCACTAGATATAATCTCATAAAAAATTCCTCCAAAAAAAATAGAGAAAAAATAAATATATTCAAGTAGTCTATATATAAAAAATGATGAGAGGTAAAATGCTAAATGCCTTCACATAAATTTATGAAAGACCTAATAAGATATTTAATTATGTCTACTCATAATAAGTATATATATACTTTATTCTCAATGTTATCAAAGCTGTAATTTTTTTTCCCTTTCTCAAAAAGATGACCGCTTAACTTTTGTATTGAATAATTTCTCATTTTAAAATGTACAATTTTTTAAAATGTAAAATTTTTCAAGAGTTAAATAAATTATTTTTTTAAACACATTCTAATTTTTCCTGATAATTTAAAAAAAAAAATGAAACGATTTCAAAAAGTACAAATTATAATTATAAAATATTTTAAAGTTGTCATCTTTCTGATAAAGGTATATTTTCTAAATTTTAATTAATTAAAAGTAATTATAATTCAACTGAGTAAAACTTTCCGACAATTCTTAGGAATTTTTTACTTTTATTTAGTAATTGAATAGTTTTGAAAGTTTTACTACAAAATTCGTGAAAAGTTACTAAGAATCAAGTGAAAATTTTACTGAATTAAATTAGAGGACTTTTCACTAATTCAAATTTGGAAAATAGTTATAAAAATATAATTATATATATATGCGCTAAGAGAAAATAATGAAGACATATCATATAAAAATGCCTAATAAGCATTCATGGGATTTAAGAAAATAAATATATAAATAGAGAATATAAAAAGAGCGCGAAACTCTAATATCTCCCTGATTAAAAGTTAATTAATGTACAATCGTCTGCAAACATAGTCAAAAAGAAAAAAAAAACAAGAAAACAAACAAAAAACAAAAATAAAAAAAGAAAACAAAAATTATATATAAATGCCTAAAATGCATTTGGAAAGTTTTAAACGTAGGCTACGAAAGTTACCCAGCGAAATGATATTCTATTAAAATTATATTTTTATCTTATATATTATACTTACACACGTATATGTGCGCTACACTTAAGCTTTACATATATATAATATTTAAATATTACTCGGTATATTTTCTCGAAACGTATATATACATATAGAATATTTATCTTTGTATTGACTTATTGTCAAACACAGGTACAATATTTTACCTTAACTTGACAGTTCGTCTTCCTTTTAATTAAAATTTATATATACAATATATGCATATATGTATAAAATATTTGACAAATTTTCAATATTTTTAATCTACTTTTTTATTAATAGTAATAATGTTAGTTTTGATATTTAATTATTTAATTTTCGAAAAGTTATTTTTAACATTAATTTTCAAAATGTTTCGCTATTTTTGACTGTTTTTCCCATTATTGTTTATAACAATGTACGTAAAATGGATACGTACCCGTCCATAAAAAATACATATCATAGAAAATACAAATCATAAGTTTAAAAAATAATATTTGAAAATAATTTATGAAAGTAATTTTTGAAACTAATTTATGAAAATAATTTTGAAAATAATTTTTGAAAATAAGTTGTAAAAACAATTTTTGAAAATAAGTTGTAAAAACAATTTTTGAAAATAATTTATGAAAATAATTTATGAAAATAATTTATGAAAATAATTTTTGAAAATAAGTTGTAAAACCAATTTTTAAAAATTATTTATGAAAACAATTTTTTTAAAATAACTTGTAAAAACAATTTTTTCAAAATAAGTTGTAAAAATAATTTTTGAAAATAATTTGTAAAATTAGTTGTTGAAAATATTCCCGTACAAATTATTATCTTTCATAATTCATTTACAGTAAAAAAAAACAAAATTAAAAAAATGAAAATTAATTTTCCTTTCTATCAAAATAAAAAGTCTAGTATAAAAATTATTTAATAAAACAAGAAACTTCTGTAAACATAATAATACTAACATATCAAAGAGAAATACTCATAAATGACTGTTTAATTTCTGTAAAAATTACTGAAGTAATATTTACTTTTGTAAATATTACAATAGTAATTATAGTAATTCTATATAGAAAAAAAGTGAACAAATCTAAAATTAATTTCAATCATTATTAACAATTATTTTTATCTAATATTTAAAGGGAGGAACAGGTGAAATTTCAATCTTTCCCTATTTAACCTGTTAAGAGCCGAAAATTTTTTCTGGCATTATTTAGAATCTAAATTTATTCAAATTTAAAAAAATTATTTATCCCGAGATTCGAAATTTTATTTTTTAATATTAAAATTAAAGAAAAATTATTTTGGACCATTTTCGAAATTTTAATTTTAATTATTAAAATTTTAAAAAAATTATTTTTGACCATTTTTGGAATTTTATTTCTTGAAAAATTAAAATTTTTCAAAATCATGTTCATAATCATTATAAAAAGCCTGCTAAAAATTTAGGAATGAAAAATAATAAAAAATGTGAAAGAAGTTGAATTTTTAAAGTAACTGTAAAATTAAAGTAAAATTAAAGTAAAAATAAAAGCAGTAAAATTTTTATTTTAATCAAAATTGATTTTTGATTCAATCGTTTTGGGTTATCAAATTTTTTTTTAAATTCTTTCAGTGCCTAAAGTCATATTAGACTACGAAAAATTCAAAAAAGTAACTTTTAACTGTTTTACAATTTTTTTTATTTTAAAAAATATTTTTATTTTATAAAAATTTTTGTATCGTATAAAAAACAGAAATTTTTCAAAATCTATACAATTGATTGTACAGACAGAAATTGAAATTTTATTTTTGAACATTTCGAGTTTTACTTAAAAAAAATATTAACTAATTAATAGTTTTTTAATTTTTCAAAAAATATTATTAACTAATATTGACTTGGCCCGAATGTGCTATAAATAAATAAATAATTAATAGTTTCCTAATTTTTTTCAAAATTTCGAATTTTAATTAAAAAGATATTAACTAATTAATAGTTTCTTAATTTTTTAGAAAATTTCCAGTTTTAATTAAAAAAATATTAACTAACCAACATTTCTCTAATTTTCCGAAAATTTCGAGTTGGAAGTAAAAAATTACAAATTTATTCTTTTCTAATTTTTCAAAAATTTCTAGTTTTAATTTAAAAAAAAAATATTAACTAATCAACAGTTTTTTAATGTTTCAAAATATATTTTTAATTTAAAATACTCAAATTTGTCAGAAAAAAAATTCACCACCTATAAACAATAAAAATTTAAATATGTTGAAAATCACCCGATCCCTCCCCTTAAATTCTCAGTTTAAATAAATAAAAACCATTCGTTGTTAATAAATGAAGAATTTAAGATTGAAATCCCAAAAGATTTGTTTATTACAATTACTGCTTTTTTTAAAAGAAAAGAAATCTATTCTATAAGTTTTCTCCAATATATAAGACTCTCAGAAAATAATAAATTGGAATTTTTACAAACTCTCAAAAAAACAGGAAAATTATTTTTTTAAGAGGTGAATAATTGGTTGAACTGATTATATATCGCACAAATTGTAATTCCTGCGTAAACTAGTACTTTCTGCATCGAAATTATTAATTCCATAATATATTATTGCGATAAAATAATTTTAATATTTTTATAACAATATTTCTGTTAATACTTGACTGCAATGCTATTATTAATTATTAATTTATCATTCAAATAACTTTGATATATGTTTAGAATTTATTTTGTTTTTGTTTTAGAATTTATTTTATTTATTAGAATATTTTGTTTATTTTTTAGAATTTATTTTATTTATTAGAATATTTTGTTTATTTTTTTAGAATTTATTTTACTTATTAGAATATTTTGTTTAGTTGTTTTCTACTTTTTAAATCTTTTAAGAAATTTTATACAATTTTTTATTTAATTTTCTTTTAAAGTATTCCAATATTTTTATTGACTTAATTTTTCTTTTTTATCGATGCTGGATATGTAATGTGATAAATTTTTAGGTACGATATGAATGATACAGATTTTCGCAGCCATGTCGGCTTTGAGTCAAAAAGTACCTCTTTAACAGATAAAAATTCCAATGCTCTTTAATGATACATATCTGTAAATTACACATGTGTCTGACTAAAATGTGTATATGTAAACATTCACGAATGTAATTTAAAGAAAAAAAAATTTCAAGATATAGTTGACCGTGAATTAAATTATAATCGTGCATCTGAAGGAATACAAAAAAAAAAGGTTGTGTTTATTCTTTTTCCCCCTTATTTTCCACTGGTATTTTGATTTTCTACTATAATTTACTTTTATTATAATCATTTTTGAAACTTTTTTTCACTACTGATTTTTTCCTATAATTTGTTTTTTAATTATATTAAATATTTTTAAAAACTTGTTGTCAGAACTGATTTTTTCCTAATTGGTTTTAAATTATATTAAAGATTTTTAAAACTTATTGCTTTCGGCATTTAAATTTTTTTTTCTAATTTTCCTTGAACTTTACTGGGGCACTACGTTCTTTGCTTATAAAGAAGGGCGCTCGCGAAAAAGGGTTTAAAATAGAGATTTTTTTATAAACTTGCCTATTTTTTTTTCTTTTTTTTATTAAAAAAGACTCACCGAATCAGCAACTCCCGGGGCGGAATTGATGAAGAGCTAAGGCAGGTAACTCGAAGATCCTAAAGTTTGATAATCAAACAATGAAGACAAGACGAGGTCCATGAATTTATCCAACGAAGACTGGAGCTGGATGATAGTCTTCAAGGCATTTGCACCAAGAGATCCCTCCTTTAGGTTGTAATCTAAATTGAAATTTAGAAATAAACCCTTTGCAAGGAGACCTGGTGCTAATGACTCGAATTTCTCTTCGGGCTCCAAATGCTGCAAATTCCTCCAGGTCATCCTGGAGGACGATCGTCACCATTCTCTTGGAAGAAAGCTAAAAAAAATTTAATTTATTTAATTTAGTTCAATCAATTTTTTTGAAAAACCATTTTCGAAATTTTATTTCTTGAAAAAATTTAAATTTTTCAAAATTCTGTTCATAATGATTAAAAAAAATTCTGTAAAAAATTTGGCAATGAAAAACAAGAAAAAATGTGGAAGAAGTTAAACTTTCAAAGTAAAAATAAAAACAGTAAAATTAGAGCCAATTAAAATTGATTTTTGATTCAATCGTTTAAAAATATCAAATTTTTTTTTAATTCTTTCAGTACCAGTCATATTAACACTACAAAAAATTTAAGAAAAGTAACTTTTAACTGCTTTACAATTTTTTTTATTCTGAAAAAATATTTTTTATTGTTTAAAAATTTTTTTATCATATAAACAACAGAAATTTTTGAGTTTTAATTAAAAAAATTATGAACTAATTAATTATTATTTCAAAAAATATTAATATTAACTTGGCCCGTGTGTACTTTAAAAAAATAAATAATTAATAGTTTTCCAATTTTTCGAAAATTTCGAGTTTTAATCATTAAATTATTATTTTTATAATTACATTCTTTTGAAAAAAGAAGTTAAAAATGTTCAAAAGCCATGTGAACACCGTGTCAGTGAAAATTATAATGACAAGTATTAATATTTTTATGATTTCTAAATTTTAATCAATTTAATTTATTTAATTTAGTTCAAATAATTTTTTTGAAAAAAAATAAGTTAACAAATTTTTAAAATTCGCATGTTAACATCGTGTCAATGCAAATTAACCTATAAACTCGAATTATAAATGTCATTCACGAAGAATTAAAAAAAAAGAGAATAATTATATTTATTGCAAAATATCAATTAAAAAAGATCTCGTTACATCTAATAAAATAAAAAATTGAATAAATAAAATAGTAAAAAAATAAAAAAACAATTTACCTCGCACTTGACAGTTGATATCAAATTCTTTCACGCAGATAAAAACACTTCCGTAATTATTGGAATCTGGGAACAAAAAAATTATTCACATCTATAATTTCAATTGCCCTTTCTTCTGAATTTGTATTAGTCGAGTTTATTTAATCACAGATTTATAATTATAAATAAAATAAAAAATATTTCTTCATTTTCGAAATGATAAGAAAGTCATCTGTCGGAAATAATATTAAGAAACTCAAAGTTTATTTTATATCCGCCAGATGGTTCGCACTCGCACGCAAATTTTTTTGAGGTTAGGAACGCAATGTTGAAAATGCAAATATTTACGAAAAATTTTTTTCTATTTTCATTATTACTTTTAGAAAATATTAATTCTATGGGCAAATGTAATCTCAATTATGTAAAGATCTTGATAATAATGGATAATATATGCCCGATTCAAGAAAATTTGATTCTGGATTCTGACTATTCCGACAAAAATTGACATTTTCTTTTTTCCAAAAATATTGAAAATTTTCATCTTTTGTCGGAAACTTTTACAATATATCAATTATTTACGTTAAGGAAAAGTTAATTACCGTAAAATATTCATAGTATTTGTTAGGATTAACACCAAATGAGAAGATTAAAAATTTTCCAAACACGCGTCAGTCTTTCTTGTGTGGACGCCATGACAGTGAATTGGCGTGCAGTGTGAACGTAGCAGCGCACAGCAATGCCAGCGTTGCCAACCACTGTAAACTTTCTTTCTGTTAAGCGCGGGAATATTCAAATCATAGTTTTTAATTTAATTCTTATTTACTGTATTATTGAATGAAATTTAATCGTTAAAAGCATTATTTTATTATTATAATTATTTTTATTTGTTGTAATAAAGAAAAAAATAGAAAGATAATTTAAAAAAGCGCGATATATAGAAATAAACACGATACCAATAGAATCTAATCTGTTAATTGTAAATGATATTGACGAAAAATATAAACAAATAAGTCATTGTACTTGTCAAAGCAGAAAATAAAATTATGTAAATATTTTATTTCAATTCACAAAATAAAAAAAGAAAATAAATAGAATATTTACCTCATTTGGCAGTTGGTATCCAATCCTTTTACAGTTGGCAACACATTGGAAATTTTTTTGGAATCTGTGAACAAAAAAAATTTTTGGAATTTATATTTCTACTGTTTATTTATTTATTTACTATTATAATCATAAAAATGTAAAAATATTTTACAATTTTTTTGAGGTTATGAATGCAATGTTGTATTGCATCCATTGCATATTTTCGAAAAAAAAACATTTTCCTAATTTTGATTGTTATTTTTAGTAAATATTAATTGTCTGAGCAAACATAATTAATTATGAAAAGATATTAGTAGTAATCGATAATATATTTGCGATTCGAGTAAATTGAGTAAATTTAATTCCGACAAAATTTGACATTTTCTTTTCCTCAAAACTATTACTATTTTCTACCTTTTCTCTGAAACTTCTACAATATGCTAATTATTTACATTTAAAAAAAAGTTAATTACCATTAAATATTCATGACAAACGTTAGGATTTACACAAGAATAAAAGATTAAAAGTTTCTTAAACAAGCGTCAATCTTCCTTCTATACTTGACGCCATGACAGTGAATTGGCGTATAGTGTGAACGTAGCAGCCAAGAGCCAAACACTGTTTCCATTAAGCGGGAAAATTCAAATTCAAACTTTAAATACAATTTTTATTCACTGTACTATTTAAATAGAAACTATTGTTAAACATGCAATAAATAGAGGGAAAAATTTATTTACTTTTCTTTATTTTAATGTATATTTAATTCAAGTAAATATTTATTTGCTAATAATAATAATTTCAGTATATTTAAAGCAAAAGCAAATTAATTGATTCAAGTATTTTTTAATTCAAGTAAATATTTATTTGATTCAAGTAAATGTTTATTTGATTCACGTAAATATTTATTTTGATTCAAGTAAAGGTTTATTTGATTCACGTAAATATTTATTTGATTAAAGGGATTCAATAATAATTTTTAATTCAAGTAAATATTTATTTAATTAAACTAAATATTTATTTGTTGAAAATACCTTATAATAAAATTTCAGTATTTAAGGCAAATACAATTTATTCGATTTTAGTAAGTTTATTATTATTAAATTATTATTATTATATTATTTATTATTATATTATAATTTTAATTTTATTTTTATTATATTATTTATTATTAAATTATTAATTTAAGTGAATGTTTATTAAATGTAAATATTTGATTCATGTAAATATTTATTTAATTAAAGGGATTAAATAATATTTATTAATTGAAGTAAATGTTTACTAAATGTAAGTAAATATTTATTTGATTCAAGTAAATGTTTATATAATTCGAGTAAATATTTATTTAATTCAAGTAAATGTTTATTTAATTCAAGTAAATGTTTATTTAATTCGAGTAAATATTTATTTGATTCAAGTAAACTTTTATTTAATTTAAGTAAATGTTTATTTAAATCGAGTAAATATTTATTTGATTCAAGTAAATGTTTTTTTTAATTCAAGTAAATGTTTATTTAATTCGAGTAAATATTTTATTTGATCTAAGTAAATGTTTATTTAATTCAAGTAAATATTTATTAATTCCAGTAAATATTTATTTGACTAAAGTAAACATTTATTTGTTAATAAACAAGTAATCAGTTATTTGTATCAAATAATTTTTTTTAGTGTATTAAATAAATAATTAAAAAAAAAAATAAAATGTAAAATTATTCCCGAAATGAATGAAAAATAATGATAATCGCAATAGGAAGTTCAGTGACCTCGTATGTATTTCTTGGTTGGTCAAACGATTAAAAGCGGGATGCTGCGCTCGTCGCCCCGGAAATGAGTGAGTCGATTCGCATATCCGTTGTTCTTCGTCTTGTTTTCTATCTCCATGGCGCTCGGCTCTTGGACTTTAAATTCACAAAACGGGTCCTGCTTAATGAACGGGTATACATAGTTGTAAGCTCGATGAAGAGAATGCCATCTTGGTCTTTCGGGGTGAGTGTGGAAGGGGGGCAAAGGGTTAAAACGGCGGGTGGCGTCGTCATGCGTCGTTTAAATTTGGAGTGTCGGGAATTGAAAATAGAACACAGTCCCTCCCCCTCCCCCCTCTCCCCCTGATGCTTATACCTTACGGATGTAATCCGACGTGATCCACCAACGTGGCACCCTCACCCTTTTTTCATTTCTCTCTCTTCTACTTCTTCTTCTTCTTCCTCTCCTTCTTTTCTTCTTCTTCGATTTTCTTCTATTTTCTCTCTTTCTTCTTCTTCTTTCTCTTTCTTTCTCTTCTAAGTCTATTTACCATTTACTTTGTATTTATTCTCGAAATTCCTCGCCATTTTTACTCGATTCATTCACGAAAGAAAGAATATACTTGATTCAAGTATAATCTTTAACTTGTCTATTATTTAATAATTTTCCTAAAGTTTTGAACGTTTAAATGAACAATTTCTTTGTTAATCTCTTTTAATTTGTGTTTTATAAAAAAATATATTTTCAATTATAAATTACACAGAAAAAAAAATTTATTTAATTCAAATAACCGGTTAATTGAGTGAATTATCAAATAAATATTTTATTAAATTAAATAATATTTATTGGAGTCAATTAAATGGTTTAGTTCATATTTTCTCCAAATACTGAAATTATTGGTTCAAATACAATTTTAATTGACTCCAATAAATATTATTTGATTCAAGTAAATATTTAATTGATAATAATTTGTCAATTAATCGATTATTTGAATTAAATAAAATTTTTTCAGTATATAAACATTATAAATTAACAAAATTAAGTATAAATGTTCATTATTTTTTGAAAATAATTGAATTCTTTGCATTCTTTTTTTATGAATATATTTAAAAATTGCATTGAAAGTAATTTAATTTTCATATATAATTTTTAGAAATATTTTGAGAATAATTGTATTATTTTTAGAGAATTTTATGTTCTTGTTGAAATTGAATTTTATGGAAATATATTTGAAAATAATTAAATTTTTTCCTGCAATTTTAATTAAATTAGATAAAAAATAATTTAATTCATGCAAAGAATTTTAGCATTTATTAGAATAGTAGAATTGTTTCAAAGAATTTATTAAAATTTTAGGAAATAATTGAATTTTATAGAAAAAATTAGAAAATATTTGAATTTTTCTGAATAATATTTGAATTTTATTAAAATTTTATTGAAAATAATTAAAATCCTGAGAAGAATTTTATTATTTATGAAAAATAATTTAATTCTTGCGAAGAATGTTACTATTTATAAAAATAATTGAATTGTTCCAAAGAATTTATTAAAATTTTAAGAAATAAATGAATTTTATGTAAATATTTGAAAGTAATTAAATTCTTTCGAGGAATTGTATTAAAATTTTTTTAAAAGAATTGAATTTATGAAAAAAAATTTTTTACAATATTTATAAAAATAATTGTAATGTTTTAAAGAATTTATTAAAATTTTAGGAAATAATTGAAAATAATTAAATTCTTTCACGAAATTCAACTAAAGTTGTTTCGAAAATAATTGAATTTCTGTAAAGAATTTTATTAAAATTAAGTATATTCAAAATAATTGAATTTGTCAGAAGAATTTTATTATTTTTTTAATACAATTAAATTCTTTCAATTTTTTATGAATATATTTAAAAATTGCATTGAAAGTAGTTTAATTTTCATAAAGAATTTTTTTAAATATTTTGAAAATAATTGAATTATTTTTAGAGAATTTTATATTCTTATTGAAATTGAATTTTATGGAAATATTTGAAAATAATTAAATTCTTTCCTAAAATTTTATTTAAATTAGATAAAAAATAATTTAATTCCTGCAGAGAATTTTAGTATTTATAAAAATAGTTGATTATTGTTTCGAAGAATTTATTAAAATTTTAGGAAATAATTGAATTTTATGGAAATATTTGAAAATAATTGAATTAAATGTATTTTGAAAATAATTGAATTCCTGCAAAGAGTTTTACTAATTATTAAAATAATTGAATTATTTCGAAGGATTTATTAAAATTTTAGAAAATAATTTAATTCTTTTGAAAAATTTTATAACGAATTAAGAAAAAAATTAAATTCTTTTATGAAAAATTATTGAATTTTTGCAAAGATTTTACTATTTAAAAAATAATTGAATTGTTTAGAAGGATTCATTAAAATTTTAGAAAATTTAATTCTGTCGTGAAATTTTATTAAAATTTTGTTAAAAATAATTGAATTTTTGCAAAAAATTTTACTTTTTATAAAAATAATTTAATTCTATTAAAGAATGTTATTATTTATATAAAAATACTAACATTGTAGGGAAATATTAAATAATTATCTACTTGAAACAAATAATTTTTATTTCAATCAAAAAAATATTTCCTTGACACAAATAATTTTTATTTAAATCAAATAAATATTTACTTGAATAAAGTAATTTTTATTAAATTCAAATAAATTGCATTTGAACCAATAATTTTAATATTTGAATCAAATTAAACAAAATAAATTACTTGCCTTAAATTATTTGTATTTAAATCAATTAAATATTTACTTGAATCAAATAATTTTCGTTTAGATCAAATAAATGTTTAAGTGAATATTTATTCACTTCAATCAAATTATTTCAATATTTGAAGCAAATACACTTTAAGTGCCTTAAATAAAAATTGTTTTGCAATATCAAACATTCTTCGAACAAAAAACAAATATTAGATAAAAATTATTTAATACAAATAAATATTTATTTGTTAATACACAAGAAATAAATTTTTATAGAATCAAATAATTTTTTTTTTCATATTTAATATATAATTTTCAATTTTTTTAAAAAATTTTTAAAAAGAACTATAAAAATTTAATGTATCACAAAAGTCACGTGAAATTTTATTATGAATAATAATTATAAATATATTGTGATTCTAATTTACCACAGTGAGTGTGTAAAATATGACATGAAAACAGACACTTCTCCCACCCACTTTTGTGACAAGTTTACTGCCAAGAAACTTTTAACGTTTTAACAAATTACTTTTTCAATTTTTCTCGTTTAGAAAACTAAAAAATTTGTGGAAAAACTATTTTTGTACTCGGAGCAATT